CATTCATTTATTCACTATTCGTCCATATATAGATTTGTATATCGTATCTTGTCTGTGCGTGCATCTTACAAAATACAGTAATCAGACATTCAGTAAGGATCAAAGAATCAGTAATGGTTTTCGAAACAACTGTTGTTTGATGAACAGGAACTCTCCTCACGCGTGTCTTTTACACAAACACACACATTACATATATATGATTTATTTTTAATCAGTCATTATTTTTCTTGAGTGGGTAGGCTGATAGATATAATGCTCAATGTTTAAAATGAAATAAAAATGAGGTGTCTATTTAAATCCCCGGTATCCCTTAAAAATAACGTTTGAAGTGGTAATAAATATATATCTTAGCTACTCATGTTTAACATTATAAAAACTAAATAGATAAATATGTAAACGCAAAGCCAAAATATGTATTATATATATATATATATATATATATATATATATATATATATATATATATATATATTTTATATATATATATATATATATATATATATATATATATATATATATATATATATATATATATATATATATATATATATAATATCTCTTTTGGCTTTGCGTTTACATATTTACCTATTTAGGTACATATATGTTTTTGCAAATATTTGTATATGCATATAACAAGTGTAAATACGTATTTATATTGTCTTGTTGCATATTTTCAAAAGGTGTGTTTATGCTTATATAACTTAAATGGATTTTTTTTTTTTATTCGACATTATTTATTACTATAAACGTTCTTTAGTGGCTACACGTATTCGAGTTGGTGTTTCTGCTGTTATTTTCTTAAAAAGTGAAATTAATAACAACCGGCCTAAATTAAAAAGTCCTACTAAAGAAACATTGTGTATCCCCTTAGAAAAAGTAAAGGCATGTTTCAACTATAGAAATGGTTTCCCTGATGAAAAAGGGCATACACATTCGATTCCTATCGGAGGCACAATGTCAGGGATAGCAACTCAAATACATGTACCCACTAAAATAACATTTAGTCATAAGAATTATGTATATATATATATATATATATATATATATGTGTGTGTGTGTGTGTGCGTGTGTGTGTGCGCGCGTGCGTGTGTGTTTGTGCGTTTGTGCAAATAGTCATGGAAATATATATGTTCATACAGAAGTTCAAATCTTCATTTTGTTATGTAAAGAAAACTTTGACTTACTTTTCCAACTTGTGAATATGGTGTACTCTGTGTGAGGTAGTAACCTCTCCTTGGCCGTTGTGGTCATTAGGTAAGCCCTCTTTTATCTGACCCGCTAATTTAACATTTTCCAGATGATCCGACATGGCAGTAAAATATCAAGTGATTTAATTACGCGGGAAAACTCTCCGACTGCGATAGTCAGCACGCTTGTGTACGTGCAAACAAGTGCGAACCTCAGAATGCGTGCGTGTATTCAAAATTCCTTGGCGCACAGATCACATGAAGGTAGTTAAGACACCGCCCTTCTTTAAGAAGCAAGAAAAGATGTTTGTTACAAGTAGTTACAAATAAATTTACTAACAGGAGATTGAAGAATACATCAAAATACGTAGGTTTCAAACGTGAAAGAAAAATAAATGTTCAAGGCTGTTTTATTTTTTTATTTTTTAAATTTTTCTATTTTTTTTAACGTGTGCTCTTTGTAACAGATTCCTCGCGGTTTTCAGTTTAGTTACAAATCTCTTCGCCTTTAGTCCACTTAATAGTAGCTGTAGTACAGGTGGAAACGCTGCGTATGGCTGTCCATGAAAATAAATGAGCAAACAAATATATTTATCTTTATCTACTGCCAAGTTGCGTGTGTAACGAGGACTTGTACGTTTTACGAGTCGATGTACGTACTCAGACTTACTGTGTGGGCGTCATTAGGTGCGTGCGTGTGTGTCTGCTTGTTCTGTTGTAGTCGTCCTGTCGTAGCAATGCGCGTGCGTGTCAGTCTGTTTTATGCGACTAGGCCTGTGCGCAAGAAGTAACGGAGAGTTGGTTTGCGCGCTTGTGCGTTCGGGTTGCTGAGGTTTGAATGAATGGGAATGCTGGCTACTGTGTGTGACAGTAGCGATAACAACATTACTGACAACTGCAGAGTGGTTCGTCCATTTCGGAGGCGTGGTAGATTGAGATAGAGAGACAGGAAAGAGAACAGGAAAACGAAAAAGTTTAAAAAGTGAAGAGAGAAAAAATGTAAGGAAAAATATAAGAAAAAAAAATTAATATGAAGTTAGTGAAAAATATAGAGAGGAATTCAAAATGAAAAATATCAGAAAAAGATAAAAGAAGAAATGGATAATATTCTTAGATAAAAAATATACAAAAGTGAAATAAAATATATAATGAGGGAATGCAAACGTTTCCAGCGAATAAGACAGTTTTCATCTGTGGTCTTGTTTCTTTGTTTTGTTTTTTCATTAAAAAAATAGTAGCGGTAAAAACTTTAGCGGGAAATAAATCTGTAAATGATTTGAAATATCCGAAGTACATAAAAAGCGATTGAACATTCAATCTGTAAAATTTCTTGTTTACGTTTCTCTTCTTTAACGTGAGCATTCTCAAAACATAAATAAAAAGAATGCTCAGATAAAAGGTGGGGTGGGATGAAAAAAGAAAATTAAAATGTTTATATATATATATATATATATATATATATATATATATATATACACACACACACATACGGTGAGAATGGCTAAATTGTCGTCTAAATTGCACAAAAATGAAAATAACACTGACATCTCATTTTAACAGTTATATTTACCAAAATTACATAAAAATATCTTGGAATACTAAAGAGTAAATTTATTCAATAAAATCGCCATTGCCTTCAATCATGGCCTCCTTACGACTTCGGAATCTCCTGCATCTCTTCTGGACGGTCTCCTTGTTTAAGTTGGTGAATGCTGCTATAATCCTTGCCTTCAGTTCATATTTGGCGATACAAGGAGTTTTGTTGGTCTCTTGCTCAACTGCGCCGCACACAATAATCAAGAGGGGAGTTGCAGTCTGGGGAGTGGGCAGATGTAAGGGGTGATATGGTGGCAGAAATTAATTGTCTGACCGCCATGACTGGGTTCTCCTGCTTGTGTTACATGTTGCAGAGTCCTGTTTCCAGACATAGGGCCTTTCAGTAGACATCTTATTGACCCACGGCCGCACTACTTCCTCAAGGCACTTGATGTAGGCCTCCGTATTTGGTCTGAAGCTATCACCAGCAAATTCGGAAATTTCTTTTCTTATCAACGATCAGAGTGAGTTTTCCAAGCTGCCATACCTTAGTAATCACTATTAAACTCATCCAACTCTTCACTGTCTTCGACTGACACTCAAACACTGAAATATTCGTATTGGAGCTTCCGGTGCGAATGCCAAGCAGTGCAGCATGCTGTTTCCAAATTTCTGGCGGTGTGATTTGCGTCATGCTGCTATTTTTCTGACAGACGGTGCCAAACGGATCTGACTATATTGTGCAGTCAACAAAATCAAACAAACGCGCATGCACGAAATTACAAATATAAAATGGTAACAATTTACCCATATATATTGTTGTGGCTTGTTTAGGGGTCAGAAAGAAAGACACGGAAGACGAAGGTAGGTTGAAAAAAGTGTATTGAAGATATATACAAAACAATAGTGTTAGTAATAAGTAGATTAACACTGCATCTACTAGTCCACTTCACTCCACACAAATTCACCTATCCGACTCTCGCAGTTTGTATTTATGAGAGGAGGAAGAGTTCATTCTACTGTAGGAGGGTTTACCACAACTTATATATATATATATATATATATATATATATATATATATATATATATATATATATATATATATATATATATATATATATATATATATATATAATCTGTGTGCGTATTAATTAAAACTTTGGTTCTTTTGCACAAAGTTAAATGGATAAAAGTGGAAATAGAATATGGTGTTGCATCATCGTTTTAAATGGACATAGCCTGCCTCATTAGAGATCCTGCCTTTTACTGTGTTTCGAACTATGGACAATGCAATTTGTGAGCAACTTCTTTAAAAGAAATTTTGAATGTTACTCTGATAAACAAGCTTGTACGAAATGAGTACTTAATTGACAACACTACTCTTATTCGGAATCGAATATTGATTACCTACAAAGTATATACTTGGAGTTAGCTCCTATCTTTCTTCTGGTATTTCTTGATGAACTGCTAACCTTAATGTTTTTCTTAATTTCGAAAAATAGAAATACATAACCTTTTATTTAATTGTACATCTGTTTTGGAATATAGTTGTCATTCTTGCGTTTTATTGTAATTGTAACGATTTTCTAGAAATTGTTTTGGTAGATTCGATATCCTAGAATATTTAACAAACATGCAGTAGAGAAATTACACATATTGCCCATGCACATAAGGAGTTAAATAGGAATATTTGAGGAAGGTTACAGATATTTATGCTTTTTAGTGTAAATGTTACTAGTACACAACTGTTATCAGTACTGAAAATATACGAAAATGATTATAGACTGTCACTTTCAGGAAATACCTTTGCATCTTTGTGTGCAAAAAAAAGTACTAATCTTCAACGAATGCTAGTTTAAATCTGGTCTTGAATGCTCACTACAGGTGACAGGAGAGAAGGGATATGTGTATATCTCGACCACCAACTAAGCTCTATTACAATAGATAGACGAAGAAGAGGGGGCAAAGTAAGAATAAGATATATATATGTAAATAAATGAATAGATTGTAAATACACAGAAAGAAAAGGAACCGCGAAATATTATATGAGCATTCACCTGGCTTAGATTATTCACGTTTGAAGGGCTTATAGCAATGATCGACCAGCAAATCCAGTTTACTAAGAGATCTAAGGTGAACACAGTATTTTCGTGTCAGTATTTACTGAGTACAGGAGACCACAATAATTGACCATCTAATGAAGATCGAATTGCTTGCAAACGATCACTTTACAACAGGTGCCTCTATTGTTATATTTTTATAGAAAGGTAGACCGACTTAAGACCGAGAGGAAGTGATAATTAATAAATCATAAGAGCAGAGCTTAAGAGAAAGAGGGAAATAGAAATAAAGCAATATTATGAAAATGATTGAAAGACAGAAAGGAAGAAGACGACAGGGAAAGGAACGCGGAGTCGACAGTGAAAGGAACGAGGAAACGACAGTGAAAAGAACGAGGAGACGACAGAGAAAAGAACGAGGAGACGACAGGGAAAGGAACGAGGAGACGACAGGGAAAGGAACGCGGAGTCGACAGTAGAAGGAACGAGGAGACGACAGTGAAAGGAACGAGGAGACGACAGAGAAAAGAACGAGGAGACGACAGGGAAAGGAACGAGGAGACGACAGTGAATGGAACGAGGAGACGACAGAAAAAGGAACGAGGAGACGACAGTGAAAGGAACGAGATTTACCAACTGAAAAACGAGCACCAACAATCGAGGGAATCCCCAATTAAAATCTCTGACGTCAACGACGATAAATCCATATGCAGGATTTGTCAAACTTTTATTGAATAATCCTATTATGCACGATGATACAAAACTTTCATGAAATATCAAAAACACCATCAGTAATCGCGATAACTTTAGCTATAGAAATTTAAAAAAAAAACTTTCAAACCTACGAAGTCCTGTGGTCATTAATTTTATTGATACTAATGCTAAAATTACTAATGCTTAAATTGTCGGCGACACACGCAAATTTCAGAAAAAATATCAAGAAATCCATCGAATATCGAACAACGATAGATTATATGTAAGAAAACAACTGTTGATGTAAAGAAAAAAGAAAACAATTATAATAACGATAGCTTTGCTTTTTATCTAGTACAAGGCTACCTAAAAGATTTCGATGAAGTATAACTATGCGTAGTCTACGAGGCACATTTGATAACCAATACTTCACGATTAATACAAAAAAATATTTGTTTCTTGTATTTACTTAATAATAATAATAATAATAATAATAATAATGCTTTTCAGACGGTTTTTTCTTTTACTCAATCCTTCAAGTTGATATCTCGATAACATGCATTTATGTTGCCACGGTAGTTGGCAGAGGGTGAATACTCGGGCAAGTCAATTATCCATGCAGTAGCTGCCAAAGAAAGTTATATAGTCAACTTTGATACGGTCAAATAAGAATATTTAACATGTCTGGAGATGGATAATGTAATATCTTAAAAGAGTCAGCTATTGGAAGAGGACGTAAAAAAGATAAAAAAAATAAAAATAAAAGCTTGTCACAGGTTCGATTATCCAGGCGAGTAAAGGAATAAGGTAATTAGACTATCTTGTATAAGTATGTGCCGTATTTTATATCGATTATACTAGTTATCATTATTCATTTTTACAAGTATATGAAACTAGTGAGTATACTGAGAAGCAAGAAGCTCTTTTCTTTAATTTAGTCACAATATCGAAGACAATCAATGTAGTGCTGTTTCCTATGTTCATACTATCAATAAACGTTCTGTCACCAATACTAAGCACTCTTCCATAATAAACGGAGAAAATTTGGCACCTCGACGTGGTGTAATAGTTAGCAAGCTTGTCTCGCTACTACATTACGACTGAGTAGTGAGTTCGGTCCATACTTTCGGCCTTGTGCCACATCTGAGCCGCGCTTAGAAAATCACCATAAATAGAGAAAATTGTTAAAACACGCACACACTCACACTTTCGCGATTATGGCTTTACGCGAACGGCTACCAAATGATGGATGCTGTTGTTCCTTAACCTCTGAACTCTGCTCTCCGATTAACAATTCCGATCCATTATCCATTACATCAATTGCACATCTAAGTTTACAGCACCTGGGATATCCAAGCGGTCGACCATTGAAGTACTGACCCAGCTCGACGTTACTTAAACTCGGTGATCGAACTGGAACCTGTGTTTCAACGTAATGCGGCCATAAGCCTTGAAAATTTTGATGATTCTTTTATAAAAGAATGCGAATTAATCGAATTTAATATTATCGCAAAGATCCTGAAGGTTACGATGGTATTTATCGGCCTATGGAGCTATGTATATATATATATATATATATATATATATATATATATATATATATATATATATATATATATTACATAAACGTGCTATATTAAAAGGGAAATGTGCTCAGTCAGTATCAGAAATAGTGTGTGAACATAAGAATCAATACCGCATGGTGGCTGTAAATTTTACGATTCAGTGCGAACTTCAGGGTTGGTTTGAAGATCACATTCAGTCATGAAACTGTCACCAAACCGTGTCGAGTCATGGGTCCACACTGTCATATATTGGGGAACGAGAGACTAAAAGGAAGAATTGAGACGATGCACCCATTTTTATACATCTGGGGACAGAACAAGAAGATGTTGACAAATGTATGTTATGTCCAAATTAAGTAGAGACTTCCCTGAATCAGCTGTACCATTTCACATTCCAGATTCCTTCCTCAGTACTTATTCCAAGTAGATTTATCACTTTCTTCATAAACACGCCAAACCTCGTCATATCACCTTGCGATAGAGAGGCAGATCATTTCTTAGTGAGTGAACAGTTCGCACCAACTAAAATCAACAGTAGTGACTTGTGTGGTTCTATCTTCAAAAAATAAATCGATACATGTGGAAAATGTTTATCAATTACGAATGCTTTACTCAGACACTCGCTAATATTTTCCCCCTTTCAGACCAGACAAACATCGTCTAAAGCTGATCATCTTCGGTGTCATTGAATCAAAAGAAATAATTATCTTGCTAAACCGTTTGTACTATTCTTGTCATGTACGTCTGGAAGCAAGATGCATCTTTGTATTCTATAGAATTTATTCGAGAATATCATTTGCTGGATTTAATAACGTGTAAACCATAAGAAATTGCCAATTTCTACGTCAGTGTCTACTGATAAATATTAGGGATACAAGGTGTTTTCTTTTATTGAAACAAAATTAATTTCGAAGGGTTTACATATTTTAATCAGCTGAAAAGCAAAATGTCGCATTATGAAAAAAAAAAAAAAATTTCTCTCAACCTTTGAACTTTTCGAAGGTTCCGATTCTAGGATTTAGCCTGTTTTTAATACTTTTAAAATCTTTCAGGAAAGTAAAGACCAACGTAATTTGTCATAAAGATCAATATATTAGGAACAATATGAATCGAGAAGTGTTGTATAAACGCATATAAAACCTGTGTTTTAATGTTAAGATTTAGCAAATATTTAACATTTACGTACAGTTATTAAAATTTTAAAAACGAACTTAACGTAGTAAATACTGACTTAGGTACAGATAAAGAAAAGATAACTTTGCAATATGATTATATAATCGTGGTTCAACAACAATGAACTCATCGCTGACTTCCATGAAAGAATACTAGTGGCATACATTTGTCTTTATTTTTCGTATATTCAAAAAGAAAGTTATATTTTTCATTACAATTGTTAAATACCAGTTATTTCTGAATTATATTACAGATTCACACGTAGATAACTCGACTAACAATCCCTTGCTTTTACTCGTACAAAAGGAGAAACCTGAATTTCTTCCAACATAATTATTTCTTCTACGTGCTATGTCTCTTAAGGACGTTGGCGCTCATGGCACTCCACATTTTCCTGTCCTATATAGCTCTTACTAAATTTTGTCTTTTTCTTATCTTTCCTAAATCTTTTTCTGACATCCATTTACGCAAGCTCATTAGTTAGGGTATGTGTCGTTTCCCGTTTGCCTTCAATCTGTCCGATGAGTATCATATTTTCTAAACCCTCTTTCCTCATTATGTGGTCTAGAAATTTAAATTATCTAATATTAAGTGTAAGAGTCGTTTTTGTTTCCATTTTCTCTAGAACTTTGTCGTTTCTCACATGCTCAATCCATGATATTCCCAATATCCTTCTGTACAACTAGATTTCTGTTGATTTAAATGTCTTCATTTGCGAGGAGATTGTCCCGAATTCACTGTCATATAGGAAGATTAGCATTATGTAACAGCCTAGTAATCTTTTCTTTGTTTGTAAGGAAATTTTTGTTTCGTAATAATTTGCTTAACCTTTGGAAGGCATCATTCGTTATCCCAATGCGCCTTGGGATTTCCATGTCTCACTTTTCATCCTCTGTTAAAACACTTCCTAGATATTTAAATTATTGTGCTTGCTTGATTTTAGCATCTCTAGTGTGTCATTTGCATGTTATGCTATTCGCTTTGCTGACAACCATGCATTATGTCATCTTGCAATTGATGTTTAGTTCTTTCTTCTCACTTTCCTTCAATACCTCCTGTAGGAGTTGTTGCAGTTCCCTTTCTGTTCTGCTATAAACAATGTGTCATAAAACTTGCCAGTTCATTTAACAAATTTGGAATTTGGCAGTTTTTTCCTCATTTAAATATTGAACCAATGATGTACTTTATTACATTTGATTTCAGACTAGACAGACCTAAATAATTTTTTGTTCGCTAGTAGGATTGCTTGTAAAACTTGATGCAGAAGAGATATGAATACTACTTAACGTAAAATACAAAATATTTGGATTAGGCGCTACATAGAGATCGAGGTAATGTAGAATCAGTACAAGGACGTAGACAGAAGCGACATATCTGACTTGTACAAAACAAACTTGTGTCGAAACATGAAGATTGGATGAAATTTTGGAAATGTACATCTGTAAAAAATATCTACTTAATGAAATACGGAATTAGCTGGTACGTGTTTGTATTAAATAATGTATGCGAAATAACAGATTTGACTGTCGCCAAAAAAAATTTAACACATCATTTTGGGGTTAATTTTCCCAAGTATTACGATGTCTACCATTAGAAAACGATCATATTTTTGTTCAAAAGAGTTTGTTCGGTCCCAACTTGTCAAACGAAGCTCTTTGCTCTGCCACTGTGAAATACCAGCTAATGCTGGTAAGGATGTTAATTTGTTCAGAGACTCGTCCTGGAGCAAACATCAGCAATTTTTTTCTCGTTTAATGTTTCCTGTGGTTTATCTGCTGTTTACAAAGTCTGCAGTCTTTGAGTCATGTCGACTTTAATGGATATTTACTTGTCAGCATATGCAGGCGAGTATTTGTGTATTTTAACTATAACAAACACTTTATCTACCTATGCCATAGGCCACCTTGTTACAATCCATATCTACGTATCTAACACTGTTTATACCTATCTACGTTAGTCAAATTCATAGAGTTTGTTTATCAATTTCATTCTGTTTCTGTTTGTCTCAAATTTTCAAGTCTGGCCATTATATTTCTGTTTGCTTTTTCTGTGTCGATATTTAAGTCTATCTTAAACTTTTTTCTCCCATTCTATCTCAAGACCACTATTTCCATTGAACTTGCTAGAGTGCAAGGTTAGCCAATTTTGTCTACAGATTGTTGATAAGTTATTATTTTCACTGCATACTTTAAAAGTGTAACCTTTTGTCACATTAAACGATGTTTAATCAATGTTGAATCGTTTATTCATATATATGCATATACGATAAATCGTGTTTTATTTGAATGAATGCACCTATATCTACCCACACACGTAATTTCAGGAGTCAATTTATGTATACGCACAGACAATATATATAATTCCCACAAAGAGAATAACAGAACTTTACCGTGAATATTATTTTCTGTTTTTTATGCATAGTTATCATGCATCTGTACAGTTAATTATATGAAAATTATGTTTATTGATTAGTTGGAAATATAATAAATAAAACATTTGTATGTGTACGAATATTTATTACCCCCCAGTGTATATATATATATATATATATATGAAGTGAAAAAGTTTTCATATGACAGGTTTCGTCTCTTAGAACTTCAGCGGACTAGGTTTTGTTTTATGTTGATGCAACTACACATGCGCACAAACGAGAGAAAAAATTAATAAAATTAATTAGTAAAATTTTTTTCTCTTAATTAGAGTAGCATTTTTACGGTGAGCAACTAATGCGTTTAATGTGTTGTTTTTTAAACTGTCTTGTGTTCACATCTTTTATTTAAACTTCTTGAGGTTTCTCTAATATATTCTTTCTGGAAATCCATGCTGGTATAGAGTAAATTCTTCTTTCAAGTTTTGGCTTGTTGTTTTGTATTGTATAAGTCTTTTATTATTTTAGATGTACTTGTCACAAATTTTATGTTGAGTTTAGAGAAATTCTTTTCGATTGTAGTTATGATAGAGTAAGTGGGTTTGTCAGGAGGAGCCGCTTTTCTATTTTGGAATATTTTATGAGACTTTTGTCTTCGCATTGAATATGAAAGGATCTTGAAAGTAATTTCAATATATATGAAAGTAATTTCAATATATTTCTCCGCTTTGAGTATTGAGGGCTGCAAATTGTGAGTGCTCTGAATTAGAATCCAATGATTATTCCGGATTTCATTTTGTTGTTATGATGGGAAAAGAAATGTATTAGACCATTTTTATTAGTTGATATACGGTGAACACTAAGTTTTAAGCTGCTATCAACGCGGTGTCGCATGATATTCAGGAAAAGTAAGATATTGTTTTCTTCCATTTCGTATGTAAATTCTATTGTATATTCGATTTTGTTTAGTTTATAAGATCAGATAAATTAGTATCATGGGGACATATTAATAGAGCATCATCAATATATCGGACATATGTTGATTGTTTAGATAAAATATTTTGAAAAGGACCGTATTCAAGAAATGCTAAGAAAATACAAACATTCTTGGCAGATCTTTTGCCATCACAATGTGGGGTATTTAATAATAAAGATAGAGATAAAAATAAAAAGAATCTAAATGAAATTAGCTAGATTATATACCCAAAACACATTTAATTTTTCTCTAAATGTATGTGTGTGTGTTTGTGTGTGTGTGTGTCTAGGGGGTATTGCAATGAATGTTGTTTCATTCATATAAACTTCCTATATCTGCCATTTCTTCACTGGATGTAAGAATCTACTTTTGTTATTGATTAAGCTTAGTTCACTCGCATAAAATCAAATGTAACGAGGTAACAATCATGAACAAATTCCAATAGCTAGCTGATCTAGAAAACTGATTGTTAGTCATCAGGCGTCCATAGTTTGCGTGATTATAGTAAACATAATTTGAAAACAGACAACAAACTTTTGTATCTATACATGACATAAAAGGGGTTATCAAAGATTTAATTTTAGAATTGTTTTTTTAATTCGACTATTTCTTATTAGCATAAATGTTATTTCCAGTAAATGCGCACACACACACACACACACATATATATATATATATATATATATATATATATGATGGGCCCGTTTTTCAAACAAGAAATACAGCTTTCGTTTCACTGATGTACAAACGATTACTACGGAAAGAGTACAAACTCTGACATCTCGAAAGATTTCTACGGGTTTTGGCATACAGATCTTCTTCACAAATTGGAAAGTTACAGTGTCTCCAGACAAATTTTTGAACTGGTCCTGTCTCTCTTGTCAAATTGAGAAATGAAAGTTATCCTGAACGGCCACTCTTCCAGATCCTTTCGGAGTAATGTAGGTGACTCCCAAGGCTATATCATTGATCCTACTTTGTTTTTAATTTTCATTAATGATCTTCCCGATGGCATCAGCTCTCAACTTGGTATCTATGCTGAAGACAACCATTTGCTCCTGTCTCGATAGTAAGTCCGATCAGCCCGATAAGGTCAAATTCGTGGCTGATATAAAAAATGACTTCAGTCTATTGTTAATTGATCTAAAGAATGACGTGTTAATTTTAACGGCTCCAAAACTTTAATCTTCAAAAATTTAAATGCAATATCAATTGCTATCTACTGTCCTGATTACTCTGCTTCTATACTAGCACCTTAGTAATGTTTTTGTTTTCTAATTCTTCCACATCCAGTAACTCCTTATGTCTTAGTGCCTTTGCTGCCTTGCTTGCGGTAAAATAGGTTAAAAAAAATATATATATATATATATATATATATATATATATATATATATATATCTCGTGTGGGAACAAATATTCGTACACATAAAATTTTTAATTTATTATATTTCCAACTAATGAATAAACATACTTTTCATATAATTAACTGTACACAGATGCATAGTAATTAAATATGCACAGAAAACAGAAAAAAATTGATTTAATAGAAAAAAATCCTGAATATTCCATTTACTACCATTAGTTCATTCATTGCAATGTATAAAACGCGCAAAATGTTCAAAGCCAAAGAAGAACAGGCGCTCCACGGAAGATTTCCTCAAGATCTTCGAAGAAATTAGTGCGACAAATTAAACAAAATCCAATAGTTACTCGTCAAGCGTAACAGGGTGATTTGCTTTCATCAGGAATCTGTGTCACTAAACGGACAATAAGCAATAGAATTCATACGAACAATCTAAAGTTATGCTCCTCTCGGGAAACTACACTTCTGTTGAAACGACACAGAAATGCCAGAGTGAAATTCATTCATGAACATAAGGATAAGGAAAATCATATTGGGAAAGAGTATTATGGACAGACGAAACCAAAATTGAGTTTTAATTCTAGAAATCGTCTATGGAGGAAAAATGGCGATGCCTTCAAACAAAATAACACAGTTCCAATAGTGAAATTTGTTGGTGGCAGCGTCATGGTTTGAGGATGTTTTTCTGTAAAAGGTACTAGCAATATATCAGTAAGAGATAGTAGAATGAATGCCACAGAATGAATATCAAAATATTTTGGAAGAAAATTTAATGATTTTGATTGAAAATCTTGAACTCCATCATGATTGGATCTTCCAACAAGATAAGGATCCTAAGTACACTGAAAAATGTACGAAGAAATGGCTTGCTAAAAATAATGTAAATATCCTGAAATGACCAAGCCAGTCCCCCGATTTAAACCCAATCTCGAATCTGTGACGTTATTTAAAAATTCAAATCCAATCGAGAGCTCCAACAAATATCTCGGATCTGAAGACCATATGCGAAGAATAATGGAACAAAATATCAACTAAAATTTGCAAATCATTAATTGAGAACTACAAGAAGAGTCTGGTTGTTGTAGAAATGAATAATGGCTATTCTACAAATATTAAATTAAGATTATGTATTCTTTTTTGATTAAATGAAGATTCTGTATTCTTTTTTTCTATTGTACGAATACCTTTTTCACCAATTAAAATGGATAAATGGGATTTATTTCTATTATATCATTTTTTTCTGTTTTCTATGAATATTTGGTTATTAGGCATTGGTGTACAGTTAATTATATGAAAAGAATGTTCATTCATTAATTAAAAATACAATAAATTAAAAAAAAATATGTGTACCAATATTTGTTCCCCCCCACCAATATATATATATATATGTGTGTCTGTATGCGTGTGATATGATAACATTGTGAATATCGTAAATTTTTAGTAGGTTCAATTTTGCAAGGGAGGTATGAAGCATAACACCCATGAGTTGTTATCTTTCTACCCTGAAGAGAATATTTTTGTTCATCTTATTCTCTACGAAAAATATATTCCTGATACGGGGAAAATCATTCTGATAATTTAGGTGCTTTGGGGGCGTCTGACGTAAATCAGTGTCTTGGTGAATTTGATTTTTACTTGGGGGCTCTATTACTAGTGATTTATTAGTATAAGTTAAACTATATAAATTTGTATCATTTTACAGTCAACTTCACTCTAGCATAATGCACTGGAATATGTTTTATAACCTAATTATTACTGTTATCACTGCGCATCTAACTTGAAGTAATGATGGTTATCTGTGGAAATCAAATTTTTACGTAATTTTTGTTTTGAATTTGGTAAGTAATGCGTGCTAAGGAATTTTCTAAGTTTTAAGATTTTGATCTTTATTTTCCTCTTAATTTCGAGTAGTTTTTATTTTGAAAGATATGAAGTTCATGTTCGTTGCACAACCACTTTTATACTTATAATTATTTCGATCTATTCTTTTGGGCCCAGCTTGGAGTCAACAGCTACGCTGTGTCATTTCTCTTATTCTAAAATATTTCTTTTTTCTTAAACCTACACCAGAACAGAATGAGTTTGAAATGCAATTACCTCAACTGCCCAAACGCTTGACGAACTTTAACTTTCACTACCAGTCTCAGATCTTCAAAACACGTAATGGCAAAGCCAGTTAACACAAGCGTCATTTTTATTTCAAGACCAGACATGTCTGATGTAGGTTCTTGTCCAGTTGGATATAGCTTTCTGTTCGTAGGAAGAAGAACGAAGCGGAGTACATGAAAGACCTGAAACAAAAGGCTTTGTACCTATAAAGAAGAACGTCTGAGAAACGAGAAGAAAGAGTTGGACGAATAAAAGGAAGAAAAAAAAACTTTGAAGAAAACGTAAAATGTGATTGAGCAAAGAACAGAATCGTTTGTAATAAGAAAATATCTAAAAAAAGGGTAATAATATGAGCACCCAGACTGGAAGTTATCATACGTGTGCAAGCTCTAAAGGAGACAAGAATAAATATGAATAGATTGAGACAGATACATTGAACATTGAATTGACTGATTAATAGGAATAATCAAAAGTAAAAAGTAAATAGATCGACGAATTAGTATGAGATAGAGAAGGATATATCAATACAGATATTGAGATAATGGAAATAGATATATATATACTGAGTTGTTCATCTCTAAATTAATCAATATGCAAGCTGATAGATAAAAAGAGTCTTAACACCTGCATAGTGGCTGAGATAGTTGCGTATTTTCCACTGTCCAGTTTGATCAGTGTAATCGTTTGTCGTTCTAAATTAAACTGTGCAAACATGTAAGGGATTAGATCATTGTTAACGATTGTTTTGTTTGTTTAAAGGCATATCAAATCCTTATGGATCATTTAATGCTGAAATTTAGTTTTCTTGGGAGCATTAGTAATTTCTCTTACGAAAATTATTGCTAGTAATATGTTTTTTTTCGTTACAAAAATGTATTACTAGTAATTTATTTACTATGAAAATGTATTGCTGAGACTTCTACAAAAAAGGTATTTTTACACTTTCATAGTGTTTCGACCCCAGTTTGGAGGTTAACTATTTGCCCATAGCTGGCACCCTAACAGGTGCTATCACCCCGCGTCAGGGTGGACCTGAAAACAACAACAATTAAGAGGTGGTTCTCCGCTCTACAAAACCTCCAATCTCCCGATCAGAGGCCTTGCTGCCGGATGTAATTTGTCGTCATACCCAAGACTGAACATTAGTAATAAGCATGTATGTCTGTGGGCATGAGTGAATGAAAGAGATAAATAAAAAATGTAATTCTTTATGACATTGAAAATATTATATTTTTATATATAAAGATTTCGTTGGGGGTAAAAAAAACTTAATGACCGTCACAGATAGACAAAATTTGTTTTTATTACCACTCATGATAACAATTAAAAGGAAAAAAAAATGAAAAACGTGCTAGCTAACCGGTTTCGAACCTCGTTCAACAGAACTAAATCGAGATTAATAAATATATAACTATGGATAAAAAGATGAACTATATGTTGGTGAAAATATTTTTAAATGGAAATTAATTGGAGGCCCAGAAGAAAATCCTTCTGTTTAAATAATGAATGTTTCAAGGAAGAAATATATATGGCCTCAAATATTTTCAAGTAGTAACTTGAGTGGGACTTACAGAGGACGGAAAACGAGTCCACACTAAAATTAGGGACACAATTATGGTTATTTGTCAGGTGATCCGCGATGAATATACATATCCCTCAACGTTTGCTAATTTTACATGTACGCATTTAATAAACATTACTCATAGCGTCTATGAAGATATCATTTAAGACTAAATTTTCAGGTTGATGGTAATTACTGAACTTAAAGACTGCCTCTTTGCTCAGAAGGCTGCGTATTTTCCATTGTTCCAGTTCAGTTTTACAAAAATCCATGTTTTTAAGGCTGATTTTTAAGGCAGTCACTTGAAAGATTAGTGCGATATAGTCCTCATAATTCTTATCTCCTTCCCTTTATCCCTGTTTCAGAATAATTATCTAACTAAATAACTAGAATGTGCCTCATTAAAGAGAATAGATATTCAAGTTTATTGACAAACGTTAATTCTATATAAGGCCAGAGTTAACACTTGAATTCCTATAACTGCAATTCTATGCCAGTTTACTGTCAAATTTGCGCAAGGAAATATATTAATACTTGTGAGCATATCTAGACCTTAATGTCAGCTTCTGCGTACAAATGATTTGATTGAGTAAAAGTGGATGAATTTCAAAATAAGTGATTTGTTAATTTTCTGTACAAGGGTCAATCTATACCTGAAGTTAATAAACCTTTTAGAAGGAACAATCAATATCGCGCCGTTGCCGCACTTAAATATCTAACAGCCTTTGCAGCGGTGGATTAATCATGAATCCGCAATTTAAATGGGCACATATAGCTTTTATAATTCAGTTTGTGGAATCAATTCCCAGACAGATGCTCCCTTGAACACTTCAATATTGACCTCTTCAAGTCAAGAATCAATCATCAACTTTCCTCGTTATCTTCAATCTTCATTTCCTATCAACTGTTCCATTCATACCACATACCTCATTCATCATTATCATTTTAGTAGAGCTATCTTACGTGGCTCTCGAGACTTCTATTTTGTGAAATAATCACCGTAATACTGTGGGTATAAAAGTTTCGTTTTATTTAATCCAAAATAGTGTCCAAAAGTCTACTGCGTCTTATACTTCAGAAGTCAATCCCATTTTTCCAGGACTCAAAACGGACAAAATCGGGTCAAATTGGATTTATTTATTTACCGTAGAGATAATAACTATCTAATGGCGTATTTCAACAAAAGGGAAATAAATGTTTCATAGTGTTTCTTTAAGTCCCGTACAGTTCCATACTTTTCCCGAATTTTGTTGAGTTTAGTCACAAGTTAATGTTTATTCAATTTTATTTCGATTTATTTTCTCAATGTGTATTGGTGATTTAGTTCTATTATACTCCAAGAGTTATTATCACGTTTTCGTAATACATACGAATCACAAAAGTAAACAAAATGTACGTTATTTTTTTTGTTTCCTTTTTCACAAATTTTTATCATTTTCTTTGCTCTAAAATCAGGTACATTTTATACATGAAAAGAAATAAAAAAAAGAAAGCTTTTTTCTTCCCTGATATTTCTACTTTATTAAGTGCGTCTTATACTCCCTAGTGATTTATGCACAAAGATCGCATTATTAAAAGTATCGTTGAGAGAAAATGAGAGAGAGAGAGAGAAAAATAGAGAGAAGGAGAGAGAGAGAAAAAATAGAGAGAATGAGAGAGAGAGAAAAATAGGAAAGAGAAAATAGAGAGAAGGAGTGAGAGAGAAGTAAGTAAGCCAATAACTACAAAGATTGTCATTGAATAGAATAGATATTCAAGTTTATTAGCAAACAGATTAATTGAAGTATAAGCGTCGTTAACAGTTTACGCATAAATATTCATCTTCATTAGATGTTACCTGAACATTCGCAAAGTGGCTTTATCAAAGATGGAATAATTGATCGAAAAATAGATTATTTTGAGGTGGATGGATTTTTAATAAATGTGTGTAATATCTTGCGAGATACGGGAAACGCTGAGAGAATAACAAACTGATCAATCTGTTCCAATTAAAAGAAAAAATATCACTTTTTAATTTTATGTCGTCGGGAAGGAGAGAAAGGAAAAAAGACGTTTAAGCAGTTGAAAACAATTTTTAAAAAAAGATTAAATCTAAGTTTCAAACGCAGTTATTATTAGCATTATCAAAAACCCATTTTGGAAGTTCTACTTTTATTGCTCGTTGTAAAGGAATAAGACATTTTGGACGAAAATATTCTGATAATACCGAAATTATCCTATCTGCTCTTCAAGGTTTCGCTACTAAAATGTATCCCAGTGATGTGATAAAAATCGAGAAATAAAAATGTGCTAAAAATAGAAGGATCCAGTGAAGAAAAATCCACCGTATAGTGCGAGTTTTTATCATTATTTTTTTATGCCAAAAAAATGAGGTCGCACTATACACAGGTAAATTTGGAGGAGGTTTAAATCAGATATTTTCAGTGACCGGTTGCACACAAAAAAATTCAGCGATCTCACTATGCATGAAGTCGCCTTATACATAAGTATATACGGTATATCTGCCTAAATAATTATTCTACTTCCGAGTTTATTCTACTGTATGCGTTCCTCTGAAAAAGACTAACCCTTTCTCTTGACCAAAGCTAGATATTTTTATTGACAAATAATTGGTGTGATTTGTTGTCTTATTCTAAGAACACGTAATAAAAAAATTTAGTATGGCCCTATGAAAGTTCACCAATATCTTACAAGAAGTTCTCATTCAAGAAAAAAAATAAAAACAACATATTTTGCTTATATTTCAAAATTTAGTTACATCATTTTAGACAGTTTAAGGAATAGTCTTTCATAGAAAAACTTGCTAATTCTAGCTTTACAGGAGTGACAGGATAATACGGTTTCAAAAAGTTCTACGTGATCAGTAAATTTCTCAAGCATAAAAAGATTAGCTTCTTCATTCAATGCTCTATGAATGTGTCTGGCACTAGTGTTACTTAAAGTAAATTTTGCGAAAATCTTCAATCAATCGAATCTTGTTTGTTGTATTATTTTTGTTATTCAAATCATGTCAGCATCAATCTTTACAAATTTCGACTCCGGGGATCCTCCGACAGTCACGAAAAGGGTTAACCCCTGGCACCGGTTATCCTAGACAACTCATCGTTTCTTCACAACCCTCTTTGTTTATAGAAATAAAATCTAAGATTAACTATTATATGCTTATAACGACTACTTGTTAAATCCTAAGCCACGCAAGAATTCTAAAAATATCTATCTTAATGTGCTACAACTTTTCACAGAGATGAAAGATTGAGCAATAAAACGGTTTCAACGAAGTGGAATAAAATTGTAGCTTATAAAGATGGCAATGAAATTCACAATAGTAATGATTATATGCGACTGATTACGAGGGAAGCTTCATTTCCGTAAATGTAATAAACCATCTGCCAGGGATCAGGTGTTAAAATTAAGACTTGATCATTGAGGAACATCTGCAATTTTGTATTTATTATTACGCAAGAAGGATTTGTTATCGCTGAGAAATTATATATATAAAATAATATATATATATATATATATATATATATATATATATATATATAAAGAAGGTGGATCAATTAATTTGTTAACTTGTTATGAACTTTTCACCGTATAATCTTCGATCTATGTGATTAATATCCACCACTAACTGCATTTGCAAGGAACACTTAGTATTTGATATAGATGTCTATTTTATATACGAAGTGTCCAATAACGTTTGAAGTAATAAAAATGGATGATTAAAAATAAACCCATTAATTCTCTAGTAATTTACAACGAAGAAAAATTACATAGAAAAATTGTTTGCATAATAAATACAGTTGTGTCATTATTAAGCTATAATAATATACAAGAACCTATGAAGGTTTGGTTAAATTTTGTGAAGCAGGAATTCTTGTTTGGTATCTGAAGACATGAAAAAGACAATCAGAAAGACTCACAACCATTAGAAATTTTAAAAAAATATATATTTTGTTTATATAGCCACTTATTGCCAATATATTTTGTTTATATAGCCACGTCTGCGCTCAAGCAATAAAATTATTTGAGTTTGGCTTCCATCAACCAAAGTTGAAAATCAGCTATTTCTGGAACTTTATTGGTTCAAAACCCACTTTAAAATTATATTGGGGTTATAGAGATTCCATGACAAAATTTCAAGCATAATTTTGAAGTTTATCAAATTCAACAGCAACAGCAATCAGAAGAAAGCAAACACGCGTATCAACATTAAGCGTACATAAATCTAAGGGTTTATATTTGCCTTGCGGGAAAAATAAACACCATAGTATACATGTTCAAAAGATACTAATAAACGATAAGTAATTTTATCTATCTCTCACACAATTATTATATATATATAAATACATATATATATATATATATATATATATATATATATATATATATATACATATACGCACACATGCACACACACACATATATATATATGCGTGTGTGTGCATGTGTGTGTATGTAATAAAATATAGTTTTAAAGTATGCTATATATATGAGTTAAAGTGATCAATATGCTAAACGCAATAATATAATCAATATCTGGCCTGACTATGTACAAATACGACACACGGGCAAAATGGGCATGGGTGGAGTCTGGCCGTCACTTGTTCTATCGATAACTTAGTTAGTCTAATCACTGACCCAATCGTTCGTATATTGTTCCTTTCACCAAAACATCTTATCTATACAACGCTGCCTTAGACAAACACTGTAATGCCACATTTACTCTAAGAATTCATACCTAATCCCATATATACAGTCTTTGTGGAGGGTTGGGTTGATATAAATCTAAACAAAATACTTCCCCAATGTTCGTAATGTAAAAAAGTATTTACACAACTAAATAAAACTAGTGTTAGTAAGCAGCAACCCTATAGTCTAATCATGGCAGGGGTAACAGTTAACTGGACGAAAAATACTGTGGTATTAATAAAATCAATTTCATGCACACGTTCTACAATCACTCATAGTAACACAGACATTTAGACACAATGACGAAAACTTGCCTTCGAAACGAAAGACATCCCACAGTTACCAGAGAACTGCAATCCCTGTCACCTAAATGTGGGATAGAAAGAGGAATCAACCAAAGATAAAATGGGGACAAAGAATAAAAGGACCGATGACCATCCATACCCTTTCTATGTTAAATTCAAAGGATTAAACTAAAAGAAAAACAAATATGCTAACCTTACACTGGACTGCGATAACAAATGTTTATTCAGGCAGCTACATTATTGCTACAGACGGAAATGGCCTCGAGGTCAAAAATTTTTCCCCCCAGGATGCAAACCATGTAACTTTCAATCAGTTCGCACAAAGCCTGTACGATGCTACAGTGAATGATGCGCCCCAAGAACTCCACCGACCCACCGCAGCGCACGCACTTTGGCGTAACTGCCACCCCAGAGGGCCTTCTGTAACACCATCCAGGTGAGTGATGTTTCGTCGTTATTGATACACTCGGACACGCAAAGACACAGAGAGTGAAACTCGGCTCATCGCTTAGAGTATCTCGAGCGCCCCGACCCGCACTAATACACGATATAATGCCTTAAGAGAAAACAGTCGGGTGTCGAATAGGCTTTCCTTAACCTATGTGAAGTCTTTCAGAACAATCGACACTCGCAATAGAAGGAGCACTCGGTTCGATGATTACGGTGGGCCTCCACCTCGCCATCATACACACTTCTCAAAGAAATGATTTCTTAGTGTCTTCCTTTAAGAAGAGGTCTTTATCCTCATCTTGCAGAGATATTCGATCCAGGAACCTGAGCCGCAGCTTCTGTTGGCGAATCTCAAGGCTGTGCATTCCTAGACCGCCCTCAAATGGGTGGCGGTAACAGACCTCGCGATGCACCTTAGGAGCCTTGTTGCCCCCACAAGAGGTGAAACAAGACTCGAACCCAAATTAGTTCGGTGTGCGGGAGTAGGTTTTACCAAGTGACAGTAAAGAAGGATAGGGTAGATGTGATAGGCACAAACTTCCGCCCTCCTCTTTAAGCTCACAGAACCGGAAGCTCACAGATTTGTCGCGGTTGAACTTGGCTCCTATTACTGTCTCATATCTGCCGATATACTTGTCAATCTCGGCGTTGCTTTTTATGGAAGCTGTCGTCGTCTGCATAGGCAGAATACCTGGCCGAGGTGGTCAGACCAGGGAGAGTAATTCCATGTACGACCGGGTTCGCCTTTAACTCGCAAAGGTACTGTTCCAACCCAAGAATGTACTGCATCAGTGAAAAGCGAACAACCCTGAAGAATTGATCTGGACAACACGAAAAGTTTCGACCATTCACATCCACCACCCCAACGAGGGGACCAATACAAGAGCCGGATCCAGGATTGAAAATATGACCCGAAGCCGGCTGATTCGAGGACAGTTCCGAGAAATTGATGGTTAAACCTATCAAATGCCTTGGCCTGAACTAAATTGATCAACGCAGCCTCACTGACTAGGCAGGACAGCTTGCAAACGCTTGGCTAAAATATTTAACTCTGTATTCAACATAGCAAAGGGTCGGAAATTATTAATCCCATCCCTCTGTGTTTATTCTTGCGAAGTACCTTGATCACACCTCTGGTGAGGCTTTCGGAAAAATTTCCCATTCTTCATCCATTGGTTAAAGACTAGTGCCAGCAGAGGGAAAATCACGTACAACTACATCAAGTAAGCCAGAGGAGACCATCGATACCCAGAATCTTGTCTCTGCTGAAAAGCTTCAACGCATCCCAGATTTCCGCCTCTGTGATCGAATTCACGCACCTAGCCGCTTCAGTCGCTTCGAGGCGAAGAAAGTCAGCTAAATAGGTGTCGAATTGAGCCGAACTCAGACCGGGCTCCCTGGTAAAAAGATGCTGAAAATAAGATCGGAAAGCTTCACATCGGGCAACGCAACGCTAGTGATGTACCAGTCTGTGATATACTGAACTTCTTCAGCTCACAATCCAACGGAGATATTTGTTGCCTCAAAAGGCATCCTTTTTAATCTAGCCATAACTACAAGAGATTGGTCCTTTTTGATAAGCAAGAAGGTCAACTCTGCCCTAGCTGCGGCTATTTACCCACTACCTACCGATTTTATATCCCTTTCTACCCTAGATTCTTGTACCGTTTGCTCTGCTAATTTTAGCTGATCCGCTTACTGTAATCAGCAGCAAACGACTTAATGGCAGCCTTACGACCCCTATAATTCCCACAATTAGGGAGAGGAAAAATTGGTCCTGAAAAAACTTCTCATCGAACAACAATGTATTGAATTTCCAGTACCCACTAATGCTAATCCTAGGCTTATCTAAGTTTAGACGAACCCGGACAAGCCTATCTCCCTAATAAAACAATGGAATGAAGACTTGGACAACCTAAGAGTCCTAAGATGACTCTCCTAACTAATACTCGGTCAATGTAGCTTGTACGCAACACAGAAGCCGAACTGTTCCTATTAGTTCAAGTCCACACTACCTCCCGGGGAAGCTCATTCCAGAACTTATTGACGATCCAGCCTGTTGATAATGTCCCGAAATGGTTTTACATCCGGGTTGTTAGCACTCAATTTAGTTCCCGATATCCCTTGGAAAAGTTAATTTAAGCGCTCTATACAGAGAGGGGTGAGCAAAAACTGGAACCCTCTCTGAGAAAAATTATTTTAGCTATTTGTTTCCTCATTTTCCACGATTGCTAATCGGGGTGTAATGTCGAAACATTTAACAGCTTCATTCACCATCCCCACAAAGTCTGCCGGGACCCCAGCCAGACCTGATGACAGTAAAAGAAAGCGTTTCGCGTCAGAAAATTTCTTTGAGTCATCAATATCCTTATCGCCAAACTTCTGGATTGAAAGTACTTCAAGGCCTGTATTCGGTTACCATACTTTCTCGCTCTGTCTATTTGGCCCTGAGTCACACGGCAGATATCTTCCCCGATATTCTATGGCAATTCCGACTTCCTCCTTTTCTCCTTCGTTTCCACTTTGGCTTCTTTGCCGCTTTTGAGGGTTTTGTAGTGTTGGAGAAGGAAATTGAACAGGAGAAAAATACTGTGATGCACATGGAGTGGGCACCATTTTAATGGGGGACAAATTCAAAGGGGTTGGTGTCAATGAACTAGTCACTGAAGAAGAGTCATATATTTTTTTTTTTTGATGGGGGAGACAGGGCAGAGGCTGAGGGGAGTGGCACCCCCACTGGGCAACGTTGACTTTTTGGGGGTGATTGTGACCGAGGAAGCTTTGTGATGCGAATGGGTCAGTGACCTTATCACTGGGGGAGAAGTTAACCTTTTCTTAAAGGTTGGGGAAGATGGGACAGATGTCGCCCTACACTCTCCCTGGTCGTCCAAAACGTCCAATACCTGCGGCTTATCGGCAGGCGGGGGGATCACTTAGATCCAGGTTCGTTGTGGTTTGCTTTGATAATAAGGCGGCTGAGATCGAATCGTCGTCGGTATACCTGTATTGGGCTGGTCTAGGGAGAGTGAATACGCAAAGAAGAAAATGACACTCGAATAAAAAAAATATACTAGTTTTATATAAGGTCTTTCGTACAGCAGTTGGTTTACAGTCTAAGAATTCGCATGCAGACAATTATCGGCTCAACCCTTTTAAGTCGGACGTGACACTTTGTTAATTTAGTAAAGTTTGGCACAAGGCTGATTTCAGAGGTTCTCGTCGGCAGATAATCACATGGGGTGTCTCGCGTCCAGTGACTGGAACGATCTCTCTCTCCGCTCTCTCTTCGGGTATTCGTATTTATTGACGTTCGCCTAAACCGGCGTGGGGCACGGCGCAGTTGGAAAATTCGGTATTTTCCCCCTTCTGTCATCTTCATTGTCTTAGGTCTTGAGAATTAAATTACTTCATAATTTTGGGGGGGGATTCCCTTCTTCCACGAGTGATGGTTACAGGCATTACTCCACCTCATAACTTCCACTTCCTCTTATTACCATCTCTCACTAATGCTCCCCAGTGGGCGTTGGTAGCTCCTCCACCTTCCGTGGTGTCTCATCTGCGCATACCACTTCGGCCACTTTCCAATTAAGGTCTGCTGAATGTCACAACAAAAGAAAGATTAATTCTAAGTTTTATATTTACGCAGAAATAAAAGCTTTCCATTCATGTGTTTCATTGTCCAAAACTGATCAATTCTAAATGATAAAATGTCTTTCCATGTTTTCCATTGTCCAAGACTGACACACAATCCTAGCTGGCTGGCTACGCCTTTTGGAGTTAATATGGGGTCATTCTGCAAGAGAATTCTTATCTCCGAATTATGATTTTAAATCCTATTCGATTTTCTCTCTGCACTTTTCATAGGCCGTATTTTTAGCTGTATGTTATTAACCAATGTCAACAGATTTTGCCCTATGACCTGTCGTAGTTAAATGTTCTTTCTGCCAGCCATATGATTCTTGATCCTTTGAGAATCAAAATCTTCCATCTATTCTACGGGGTTTTATTGGTATATCGTTCGGGCTATTCATTAAACCTTGTTTATTATTTACCAGTAACAAATAGTGTCATGCAGAGGCTAAAGAATGCGACAGACCTACTGGCCCCCGTTGCTTTTTAGCCATCAAATGCCTCTTTTACACGTTAATTTTTTCAAGCTTTTCTTTTTTTTTTTTTTTTGCTTAGCATATGTAATTTTTCGGCGTAGCAAGCCGGATTTTCACCCTTGGGAATGGGACTGTTAGTGCCTTTAACCTTGGAAGCTGGGGGGGCTTCATGGAACTGAGATCCCACAGCTTGGGGATTCCCTCTCACTGTACCCACGACCAGCCATTCATGTGGATTTTTCGCCTAGTAGTATAAACTCGAGGGGGATTTGAGTAAAATTTAGGCAGGCCTCCAGAGGCCTTCTTCTCTAAGGAGGAAGGGGTGAAGTGACCAGTCACACTACTCTCCCAAAAGGTTGGTTTCTTCTCCGTCATGATGACTGGGTAATTCTTCCCGCTTATCTCCAAGCTGTTGGGAATAAAAGTGAAGGCTTCATGGTACAACATTAACTCTAACCCCCCGCTCATCCGCCTCATATTCCGAAGTAACATTCACCAATTGGCCATATTGTATAAGACATGCTTCTAAGTGCTCTCCGATAATATAGTCAAGAATCTCGTAAACTTCCACCTTAGTCCTACGCCGTCCTCTGGCGTGGGCAATTGTATGTTCCACAAGAAAAGAACCTGACCCTTTTATAATATGTTGAGGTAATATCACTTTGCATTTTGTGCACCGACAAATTTTTCGCGTTATCGTGTTGAGCACATAGCCTGAGAATGATGTTGTGCATCGATGTCTATCATCAGATGAGAGTACTGTTTGGCTCGCTCGACGAACTCTGCCACATCACAGTATTCTGCTTCTGCCCAATCTCCTTCTCCAACATCCTAAAATGCTCAAAAATGGCAAAGCACACATGAATCTCGGGCGGTGGGGAGTAAAGGGGGATTCCCCAGCCACTACATCGTTGACTTTGTCTGTCGAAACAGCCGCTATACTTGTACTTGGTTTCTCCTTTTCAATTTGGTTATTTTCTTTGCTTTCCTCTTCTACGGGAGTAGATGGATTATTTTTCCCCTTATACTGCATCCCTTTGTAGGATATAGTATTTTCTTTTCTCTTTGTGTGGTCTTTTTTGGGTGAGAATAGCCTCAATGATTTTATCTGTTGGATCTGCCTTAGTGAAAGACTCAAATAAATCTTTTTTGATGGACCGACTTTGGTTTGGTATATTACATTGTTCTGCAAGAAATTGCCGTTTAAAGGACATTCGTGTTCTTTATTCAGTAGTTACATATGGGTTTAATTTGTCCAGGTGTTTTTTTATTATTTGTGTCATGTTCTCTTTACCACTGTAGCTGATTTCTACTGAGTTTTTGTTGAACATCTTGTGGAAAGTGCTTGATGCGGGGAAGTGTTTGTGTATAAGTTTAATGAATATTTTCCCACGTTTCTTTTTACGTTTTTGTTGAACGGTGGGTTGAACCATATTATGTTTCTCTTCATGTTAACTTTTTTGTGCTGTCTGGTTGCACGCTCCGGCCTTCTTCAGGTGATATACGTTCGAATTTGAAATCGAACCCTTTATTTAGTCGACGGGGCTAGATTATTCGAATGCCAGGTACCATGCTTTTTTGGATATCTCACTTTCAGTTTATTCCTTTTAGTAACTCAACTCTCCAAGATTTTGTTAGCTCTGCTGTGGCCAGGTATTGAACAAACAACTCTTTAGATCAAGTCACTTTTTAATCACTCAACCACTGGATTCGGTTCGAAATTCCAACGTATATCACCTGAAGATCGTAAATATGGCAATAAAGAGGAGGACAACAGTCTGAACCATGTAAATAATTACAATACCTCATCTCAGAAATATAGAGATAATTAATATTTATCAGAAAATGCAAAGAGAAAAACCGTGGAATTTTTAAAGGGTACTACGACTAATGTGTATATATATATATATATATATATATGCCTGGATATTTTTGGCTTTCCGCAGATGCTAATGAGGTAAAGGCTAATGAATGGTAAATAAATTTTCCCGTTCTTGGGTGCTTTGTTTTTCTTTAAGTTTCTGAATAAATTTTATATTCATGCCTTTCGAGGTAAATAATCACAGATACTTACACAATAGTAAGTACTTTTTATGGAAAATTTCGATAATAATTATATATAGGCAAAAATAAATCAAGGAAAAACAGCAATGATGAAAAGGCGGGCGAAAACAGATATAATACATCTTAAATTTGTTGTTGTTGTTGTTGCTGTGGTGGTGGTGGTTTAATAATAATAATAAGAAGAAGATTTGCTCAAACTAGTATTCTCACCTTGATTGTTTTAGTTACAAAGTTTTAACCGTTGAACCCTCCGACCGAATTCTTGTAGCAAGTAACATTCTGAGATTTTAAATTGAACAGTTCAACCAGCTGCATGCAATAGATTGTACCTATTCCACTATACAAAAAGAGAATCTTTAAGCATTTAATTTTTCCTAGTTAATTCGTCCCTGTGAGAACTAGCAAAATATCTCCTCATTCTTACAATCCCATTTGAATAATAGGGAAAGGCTTACCAGATGTCACAGGCTAGCAGTATTTGTATCTTGCCTAAATACATAAAATTATAATATTTAATATAAGCTCTGAGAACTTATATGCCATCAAATATAAAGTTGAAAGAATGTTGTCATCTAGCAAAATGTCATTTTAAGCAAAAAAATCTCGCTAAAATATTAGGGTAGTGAGTTTGATCCTCACCAAGTGGAAGACTGGAGACATGTACTAGATTAAGTAAAATTATTTTTTTTATTTTTTTTAAGAGGCAAGCTGCACTAAGGATATATATATTCTTGATAGTGCTACCTAATAAAATGAAACTTCGCTAGATGTCCAATCTGAGCATCTAAAAAGTTAAATTAAAAAATGACTTTTTTTTAAAACAACGTTATGATTATTTTAACTTCTGTGTATACACATTTTATCCTGAAATTTTGGAAAAAAAAATTATCATCATAAGTGTTCAAATAAAGTAACTTGTTAGCATGCAATCAGAAATAAACATTGCACTCGTCTTCACAAATTAGTCCTTGGTTAAAAAGGCACACAATTTCACTAATATGCATGCTGTTTACACAAATGTTTGCACCACAGAAGTCAACGGCATTACCAATGGGCGGAGGAACTTCTGCGAGGAGGGACGGGATAACCTCAACAACCCAGGTGCAAAAGGAAGCCGAGAAGCCACTGTACTATTTTGCCCTGAATATTACCATGCACCACAATTACAACAAAAATAAAGGGAGTTGTGACAACAGCAGCGGCTTAAAATGCGCTAACTGTATAAATGAATTTTTAAACATGTTGACATTAGCGGAATAAAGTATTTAATTAGTCAAAAAGTTCGTTTTATGTGCTGTTAGATGGCATTACCAGTGTTTAGTTTATGCTAACTTCATCTAAACATAGGTACCTCCACGAGATCGCTAAAACAAAGAGCTTAGCATGATGAAAAAGACGTCAAACTTGACAAAAACGAAATTTTATCGTCTAAATGTTTATGTTATTATGAAGAGGAAGACCAAAGTTTATTTTAATTATTTTTTAAAATTTTTTCCTTCTTTTTAGAACATTCTAAATTTTGATTAAAAAAACCTTGTTTCTCTTTGTATCACCTAAACTAGTAAAATAACATTTACAATTTTTAGCACGTTTTTTTTTGTGTGTGTGTGTCTGTATGACACACATTAATTTTGAAAATGTTGCAAAAATAAAAATAATTGTCGGATGTTAATGAAACTTTCAGAAACTATTCACAGATGATGGAAATTATTATAAATATGTTTTTTTATTAAAGCCATGGCAGAAATATTTTTTTATATTTATTACCCCACTATAACTAATTTTATGAAAACTCTAGAAATTCGATCGAGTCCACTTTAGTGATTACAATAGTTAAAAGCACAAGGCTTTGAGGATTGCAAATCATGTTTTTTTGTTTTTAATTGGATCCTCCTACCTGAAAATTAGCTCTTAATTGTAACATACAAAACTCAATAAAACAAAGATATTATTTAATTTCAAATGCTTTTATTTGCTTTTAGTTGTTTTTTATGAATATGGACAATGTTTTCTGAAAGCAAATTTTTTTTCGTTGAAAAATGAATTTTTAATACAGTTATTTGTTACTTCTTTAATTATAATAGATTTTTACATTTAAGTTGTTAAAATATTATAAAATTAGTTAAAAGCTGCATCCGCTTCCGTAAGTGTCCTTATGTGATAGATCTTTTTTTAATGCGTTGTAAATTGTATCTGTTTTGAATAATCAGAAGACCCGCAGTAATTAAGAAATGTAATTTTGTGTTTATAATCGGGCTGTAATTATAACATACGAAAGACCAACCATAATACAATTAAGTTGCGTTATTTGTTAAGCATTGTTCTCCGCTGTTAAGGCCTTTACTTTTGCGAAACACGTGTGGAGAAGTTAATTTGATTTTTCAATTTCAACTGAGAAGGGTACCTACAAGTATCAGTATCATCTTATGAAATTTATATGATCTTATTTTTATATTAATCTCATTTATGACATTTTTTCATAAATGAAATATCAAAATTAATAATAAAATGAATGGAAATACAAATAACACAGTAAAATGTAGTAAATGTACATAAAATTATAGTATTTTATGTACACTCCTGATAAAATTTCATAAGAAAGGTACATATAAATTAATTAGTTACCTTTCTTGTGAAATTTAATCTTACTCTTAACAGTCTTATTTTAATTTCTTTATCATATATTTTCTATAAAGATCGTAAACGTAAAGGTGAAAGCTAATTCCAAAAATAAATTATAGCGCTGAAAGTTTTCTTTAAAAATAACGAGGTAAATAATTTGTTCACTTAAATGTAAATAACTTCACTTCTCTCCTTCCATAGAACAAATTATCCTCACGTAATCCGTCAGTATGTCATTCATCACCTGTCAAGTGACGCGAAAGTTTATCATCTGCTTTGATTTATTTTCAAATTATATCTTTTCGGCGCAGAAGCTAAGTTAAGCTTGGTTCAAAACATTTTAAATAAACATTATAATTTCTGATTTTCTTAAAATAAATTTTGAAAAAATTATAATTGATTTTTAAAAGAATTTCAAACTGAGATTTTCATTTTTTTTATAAAATGGAAAGAAATGGCTGCCATGATCGATTATCTGTCAATTTTGCTGACTCAAAAAAAAAGAAGGTTTTTAACGAAAATTTCGGACGTGCTAGGAACGATTAAAAAATGTAAAAAAAAAAAATTCCCCCAAAATACTTTCCGCTTAATAATAACAAACATTTAGACAATAAAATTTTGTTTTCGTCAAGTTTGGCGTCTTTTTCATCATGCTATGCTCTTTTTTAGCGATCTCGTGGAGGTGCCTATCTAAACAAATCGCTTTTGATAAAAGCGTGGGAACTGTCACATCAGTGGGCATGAAATTATCAAAATTAGCGTATTTGTGTTTATTAATTTTGATATTAAAAATGAACGAATATAACTAACATTTTTCACTTTATTTGTTAAAGTCTAAAAAAAATGCGTGCACTGTACGAAAAATGTGCTGTTAATGATCGAACTTTTCAAAAAACGTTTTGTGAAGTTTCGCGCTGAAGATATCTGGTGCAATGATGCTCCATGGTTGGGTAGCACGTAATATTCTATCAGGATGCTGTTGGCACGCATGCTTCTTAAGCGACCAGCTAAAAATTTTAACAGCATATCTGAAAATTGTCATACCGGATACTTTTGAGGGCCATTTATTCCAGTCTGTAAAGATTACTTTTAATGAAAGAGAAACATTTAAATCCATAGAAGATCACTAAAGGCACTTAGGCTTGCTTAGAAAGTTAAACGTTCTTAAAGCAAGTTTATAATTTATCTCTCTAAGATGGCAGAATATAGATTAAATCTGTAATTATGTCCAATGACTTTATTGTTGAGAATGTAAGAAATATTTTAGGTAAATTTTTACTATTACATCCGTCTCCCTTATTGACCTAATGCGACCTTCTTTCACAGTCATTGGTCAGCATAAATTAA